GACAGGTCGTTGGAGAATATTTGCAATGTATGGAATATTAGGAATCTTAGGAATGTTAGACGTTAGGAATCAATCGGGTTCTAAATTAGAAGCAATTATTTAAGAAAATCAAACCGTAAGTCAATCAGAACTTTCGTTCTAGAGCTATCGTGCTGGCATACATACGCGCAGACGACCAGACGAAATTTTTTTTTTGCATTTTTGGACTCTATGTTTGGAAACGTAAAAATGTATAAAAAAATGGTAAGAAAATTTTTTCGTCTGCACGAATTTAATACTGAGGCCCCATAGGAAGGGCCTCGGTAATGGTTGAGATAGAAAAATATTTACTTGAAAATGCCGAGAAACTGAAAGTAGAAGATATATACTGCGAAACAGCCAAATGGAAAAAATTCTGTAATTAATAAATGAGAGCCTGTTCCGAAAAATGCTCGGACACGTCGAATGGTATTTTTAGTTGCGCATTTTTTTAACAAAAATTTTTTATACAGGGTGTATCATGTAACAGTGACCAATACCAACTTTCCTATTTTAAATGCAACACCCTGTATATTTTGCAATTTTTGGATTCTTTAGAAAATTCTAGACAAATTTTATGTACTATGTTCCATACCTGTTTCGGTAATATTAAATGTTTTCCAATTTATTGCAAAAATTAAAATTAATAAAATAAATTTATTTGATTACAGAAATTCGTTACAGCACGCTCAAAAACTAATAAGTAATGCTGTTTATTTCTTGAAAATGTATAAAAAAAAAACATCTCAATCTAGGAGAAATGCTAGCCGCGAACCTCTTGACAACATCCTAATAAGAAATTAAAAAATGTCTTCTAATGTTACTCAATATCTCAAAAGTGACCAATTTAATCGCAAGCGTTATTTCGTCTTCCAAAGTCAGCTAGGTTTTAATATTTCCGAAACAGTTAGGTATAGGATATTATAGTACATTAAGTATGTCTTGAATTTTCTGAAGAATCCTAAAATTTAAAAATATACAGGGTGTTGCATTTAAAATAAGAAGGTTGGTATTGGCCAGTGTTACATGATACACCCTCCATAAAAAGTTTTTGTAAAAAAAATGCGCAACTAAAAATACCAATCGATGTGTCCGAGCATTTTTTAAAACACGCCCCTATTTATTTATTACCGAATTTATTCCATTTGGCTGTTCCACACCGTAGAAGAAATAAGGAAAGAAGATAAAAAAATATTCTGCTAAGTCCAGAACCATCCACAAATAGCAATATAAATATAAGTAATGCCACAAAAAAACAAAAAAAAAAATGTGTGGACAGACCAACACAAAAGAAAGTAAGTCATGAATTTCTTTCAAAAATATTCAGAATTAAAAACCTTAAAAAAAAATAAAATGTAATTAATTAAAAGTAAAATATCCCAACTTTTACTGTGTGTCCAATTAAGTCGAAACCATATGGAAAATTAAATTTTTTTATTCTTAGTTTTATTAAAAAAAAAATCATTCTTTAAAAAAAGTTCTTCATGGTTCAAAACTTAAAATGCAACTATCAAATATAATTTTTTTTTGAAGCTTTATAGGTACGTGGTTTGTCAAAAAAATATGAATTTGCTGAAGAGTAAAGAATCTTAATTTTTGAGAAACCTCGTATATGACTAATAAAATTTGATATCTGATGATTGTATTTTAGGTTTATACCATGCTCGACTTTTTATGAAGATTAACTTTTTTGCTAGTTCTCATATGCCACCAACTATCTACATAAGTTGGCGTAATATGAAAAACTTTTTTATTATTAATATTAGAAAAAAGTTATTCGTCATAAAAAGTCAAGCATGGCCTAAAATATAAAACACAACATCCGATATCAAATTTTATTAGTCGTATACAAAGTTTGTCAAAAATAAAGGTACTTTACTCTTCAGCAAAATTCATATTTTTTGACAAACCTCGTATACGGCGTAAAGAAAAATAATATCTGATGGTGGCATTTTAAGTTTTGGACCATGCAGAACTTTTTATAACGAAGGACTTTTTTTATAAAACTAAAAACAAAAAAAGTTTCCCATATGGTTTCAACTTAATTGGACACACTGTATAACAAAGAATGCAAAAAATAAAGGTATTCATTTAAAATAGATGCTCAAAAAAGCAATTCTTTTCGACTTTCGATTAAACTTTCAAAAATTTCTTCCTTGTGTTTTTATTTTTCATTATTATTTGCATTTTCTGTCCATTTTAATAATTTTTATATTTTTCTAATAAATAGTTTATTGTTTAAAGTTTTCAGCTTTAAAAAAAATATAATTAGTTTAATTTAATTTTAATAAATTTGTCCAAATATAAAAAATCCTATTTAACTGTAGTACCTTACTAAATAAAAACAAAAATTAATTCAATAAAATATTGATTTAAACTACTTGCTCTGATATTATGTACTAGATATTTACTTTAAAAACCGCAAATAATTTCTTGTAATAAAATTTCTCGTTAATATTTTTTTTATGCTTAGGTGTATACACCTAATATGCCAGTCTCAGTTTATTTGATTTTCATTTATGTGTGTTTTGTGTCGGCTTTGTTACTGTTTCCCAGCGCCAATTCAGGAAGAGTACTGTTAATTAAAACCTAACAGTGAATGACCGGAGTGGGGAATCATACCTGGACATCAAAATTATTTTTAAATAATTAAAGTTTGTAAAAGAATCCCGGTTGACGGTGAGATTCGAACTGCGGACTCTTGGATTCGCAAGCCCAAACTCTAGCTCTGAGCCACCCACCCCATAAAGATTTGTTTAATAGAGAAACATCAAAAAAAATTTCTTTATTCACTTGTAACATAATTAACTAGCATTCTACAAAAACTTATATGTTTCATCAATCTTGTTTAAATTGTTGAGTGGTGAATGGCAATGATGAATAAATTTACGTGTACTTTATTTTCATTTAAAAAATAGTTTGAACGCCATAATGACAGTAAGTCATATTATTTATATACAAATATATATCTTGAGGCCGAAATGTTGATTGATAAAGATTACTAAGAAGAGAAATTAGAACTTCATCGTTCAAATATCAGTATACAACGTTGCCAAGTTTTCGATGCCAAAATGTTAGTAGACTGAAAGCTGGATATACATCTACAGTAGCGCCAATATGGAAAAACGCTGAACTGATTGTATATAAATTTTTCATTCTACCATCATTTTGGCACACACTAAAAGTGAAAATTACTCTAAACCAAACAGAGATAGGTATGTAGTATTTTGACCTAACAATATGCAGTCCCTTTCAGTTCGAATGCGATAGAAACGATATATCTATCGTACTCTCAACAAAATTTATTAAGCAAAAACAAAGTGGCGTCGATATACGGACGCCACATCGTCTTGTGACGCCAAATTGTTGGAAAAAGCACAATGTATCGTTGCCAAAATGATAGAATGATGTATATATATATATATATATATATATATATATATATATATATATATATGATAGACGTTAAATGTTAATGTTATCAGTTGTATAAATGTTGTTAAAGTTGAGTGAAAATAAATTGTGATACCACAAACCAGCGTAACAATATCAACAATATTTATTTCATTATTTTTCTTGTAGGTACTATTTTAATTACTGACCAGAAAAAAATTATGAGTGGAGAATTAGGTAATCATTAATAATAAAAAAAATAGTTCACGGTTGTTTAACTTATTTGTTAAAAAAATAAATAAAATAATCTAAAACATTAATATATTCTAATATTTTTTTGTTCTTAATGCTATTTATCTTTATTACCCCATGAAATTGTTTGTAAATGGAATGACAATTATTCAATAAGGCATAAAAAAACAAATCTAAAACCAGCGACATCTTGATGAAACCTTTATAGCCAGATTTCCTAGTTTTACAGTTTTTTGATAAAATTATTTTGTGGTCGTAGGAAAAATATTGTACATCACTTTTGTGAAAGTAATTTTTCACACTCATGTGGTTGTCGCACTCGGTTTATGCCTCGTGCTACAATATTTCCCACTCGTTTAAAAACGTCACTTTTCACACTAGTAATATAATATGCTATATTTTGTTGTCAAATTATCTTATCGAATCTCCCACGATCTAGAATTAATAGATGAAAACTATTCCGGTAATAATCCAAATTGTATGGAGATTACTAGTGAAAATACTGTAAAAATATATTAATCACCAATAATTATACATATTAAATGTATTTTTACTTTATTACATTACTTTTTACTCTGAACTCCTTCACTACTATGTTGCCATAATGGCAACAAATGCATAGTGCCCAACTGTACCATGTTGCCACTATGGCAACACATTTACTAAACGCACAATGCTGCTTTCATGGGTCAGTATAATTTCATTGATAGTGTTTTAGCCCTGGTATATTGAAATTTTGTAGTGGGAGTAAATTTCTGATTGCTGGTTATAAATATTGTTTTTTGCATTATAATAAAATATTATTTGTTTTTTTTTGTCGTTTATAACTTTGTATCATAATGTAATATCTAAAAATAGAAATAAAAAATAAATATTTTTTTGTTTAAATAAATAACTATTGTTTTTTGTATTATAATCAAATATTTGATTTTTGTGCCATTTATAACACTGTATCATAAATAAATAACTACCTAATAACAGAAATTAACTAACACAATTATTTTTTTGTGCAAATCTGTTATAATATTTTAGATAGCGAAATCAGTCTGGTAGCGAAGTGGTTAAACACAATAAACGGAGGGTTAATAACTTTAAAATATCGTAAGACATCAAACAAAATGAACAACAGTTAAACATTTAAAACGGCAACACAGATACAGTCTTTTCAGTTTAAATTCAAAAATATGCAAAACTGCGAATAAAACCGTCAAACGCCAAAAAAAAATAAAAAAATTGTCGTTTGTCAATCTTCTGTCATTAAAAGCTCCGCCTCCGCAGCACGTGATACAAATTTACACAGTATCACACCTTTATTTTATAGTATTACAGCTACTTACCTCCTAATTTATTTCCAGATTTTTTGAAAGCGTTATAAAATCGGTTGGTACGAGCTCCAAGCGAAAATCCTTTTGGTAATGCCACTCCGTAATTACCAAATGGAAAAACTGGAGACAACTGTGTAACCCCTCGTCTGGTCCAATAGCCATATTTGTGTTTAATATAAAAAAAACCGGCTACTAAAAGAGTTCCAACAGCGATTGTTAAATCAAATAATAAGCTATCTGTGATTAACATTTTTTCCTGAAATAAAAAAAAAAATACACACTTACACTCAATGACTAAATATAAAATTGTGAATAAATTCAACTTTATCATAAAAATATTTATAAAGGTCAATATTAAGCTGTTGATTAGATAAAGAATAATCTAAGCAAAATCAACCAAAACAAAATAATCGTGTCTTAGAATAATATTAGGATATTAGAAACTCTAATTTTAGTAAGTCACTATTTAAGTAAGAGCAGTTAGAAAAATACTTAAAAAAAAAACGAAAATTCCACATGGAAACTTTTATTAATAACTTAGAGCTAATAATATTTTTTTTTTTTTAATTTGTACATCTATTTACACTGCCGTGTTATTTAGTAACCAAAAGAACTTTGTTCTTCTAAATTAATAACAATTAAATAGTTTTAATACATTTTTGTTTAGCGAAAAACACGCACTTACTACTTACATACGTAGTTATTTGTTTACATATTCCATCTATTTTATTTAAACTGAATTCCAATATTCGTTAAAACAATAACGTTCAATAAAATTATTACCCAGCGGGGTCTAGAATTAAAAATAGGATAATACCGTTAACAGGAATTTTGACGTTTTATACCGCAACTTTTTGACTACTGCGAAAAATAACACTTGTTTTATGTACCAAATTACCCTAACCACTAGGTAAAATTAAAACTTACACACTGTGGTACTAAAACATTTTGTAAAAAATTTAGGCAACTATACTCTGTTTTTAAACTAGGAGGAGCGAATTTAATATACGTATTTACTTAAGGAAAAGTAACTAGATTCGTTACTAAGAGCGTGTTCCGAAATATAGTCGGGTTTAAAATTTATGTAATAGTTGTTATTGTCTGCCCTAGTCGGCGAACGGCCAATGAGGGATTAAGGAACAAATAAATGTAATAGGAGTTGATTTTTTTATTGGTTCCAAACAACGTTCGTAAATTTCACGACCTGAAAAGTGTGACTAAAACGAACTGTCACTGTCAAATGAAATTTAATCTGGTAGTTGATTTGTTGACGTTATCAGAAATATGTTTTTCTTGCTTTTTAAATAGACTTTTTGAGGATTGATTTTTTTAAATTGATACTGAATATGATATTTGTTAAAAGAATATCAAGATGCAAGTTAGTATAAAACATGAAAATATGATCGTTTTACATTTTCAATAATTTATATTGTTATAGGTATAAACTTAAGTAAAAGGTAATAAGTGAATGGCAATTGGATCACACAATGACTGGAATTTATCCTATGAGTAACATGAATATTTTAGCTAATTCAGTGTTAACTCATAGTTAATACGCTAAAGGGCAAATTATTATTATTATTATTATACATTGATAAAGGCTGAGGACACAAGTCCTATGATAGCCTAAAAACAAAATAGAAAAATTCTAACAAAGTAAACACACTGAAACAAAAATAACACTAAAAATTTAATAAAAATGTTAATTAAACAAACACGCGTCTAACTTATTTTTAAAGACGTTAACTGTTATGGCACCAACAACTTCGTCGCTGAGGTCGTTCCATACATTAAATACCCGGTTGGAAAGGAATGATTGTCTGTGCTTCGTTTTTAGGTTTTCCTTTTTTAATTTTAGTTCGTGACCACGTAGACGAGAGTCAGTATTTAACAAAAAAATGTCACTAAGATTTCCGTAATTATATTTAAGTATTCTAAAAGTAAGAATTAAGTCCCCTCGTAGTCGACGATTCGCAAAAGTTGACAAGTTTGACAATTGTAGTCTTTCTGCATATGATGGTCGGACTGCTCCAAAGGTCATTCTGGTAGCCCGGCGTTGAACATTTTCTAAAAGGTTCTGGTCTCGCACAAGAAGCGGACACCAAACTACACCTGCATATTCTAATAAAGGTCGAACATAAATCTTAAATAATTTGATGTATGTATGAAAGGATACCTTTGCAAAAGTCTTTTGAAGCAAATATAACATCGAATTTGCACGTTTACATGTTTTTAGAATGTGTTCAGACCATGTTAGTTCTGACGTCACTAAAACTCCTAAATCTACATACGAAGACACTTGCGCCAAATTATGGCTACCGAGCGAGTAACCAAGACGTGGATTATTTTTGCCGATATGTAACACCACGCACTTGTTTATATTTAACGGGAGAAGCCAGTCCGAGCACCAATCACTTATTGAATTTAAGTCAGCTTGAATATTATCGTAGTCTACTAAGGGGTTTCCGTAAAATTTTGCGTCATCTGCATAAAATGCTCTTTGAGACTGGATATGGTAAGGTAGATCACTCGAATAAGTTATAAAAAGAAGCGGACCCAGTATCGAGCCTTGGGGGACACCACTTGTCACTAATCTATCTGATGAGTAGGACTGACCAACTTTGACTCGGAAGCTCCTATTTCCTAGATAATTGTGAATCCATGACAATAATTTTCCTCGAATACCAAATGACTCGAGTTTGTGCTGCAGTCTGACGAAAGGGACCCTATCAAAAGCCTTTGCAAAATCGAGATAAATTACATCAGTTGGTTGTTTGCATTCGAGTGAGCGAGACCAATCGTTAATACAGCATAAAAGATTTGTTGTGGTAGATTTACCCTTAACAAAACCGTGTTGTTCCTTTGGTATTACGTTATGCTCTTTGAAAAAGTTAGTCATGACATCAACTACGATGCTTTCCATGATTTTTGATGGGATAGACAAAAGGCTTATAGGTCTGTAATTTGAAGCATCCATTTTGTCACCCTTCTTAAAAATAGCTGTGACTGACGCAATTTTCCATAAGTCGGGTAGAGTAGATGTTTTAAAAGATGTTGTCATGATTGTGGAAAGCGGGTCGGACAGTGTGTTTGCATACTTTTTTAAAAAGAAAGAACTTAATCCATCAATACCAGGTGAAGAGTGGTTCTTCAACTTAAGTAATTTATTTCTAACCTTTTCGGGATTAAACTGCACATCAATCAGACTATTGAATGAAGGCATTAAAAAGTTTACAGGCCTATGAGTCAGGATTTGGTTTGAAAACTGAAACCAATATTTTTATAACACTACATGTCAACAATAAATCATTACTAAAACTTAATTTAATAATATTGCAGGTCCTTTTAACTCGAGTTGTAATTTTTACCTAATGTTTTAATTTAAAGTGAACTATTCATACGTACCTATACCTATACCAATTTTGTAAATGGTTTTCTAATAAATAAAATTTACTTGAATATTTAGTTACTTTTTAATCATTTTGGTAAGATAGTTTAAAATTTTTTTGTTTTAAAAAATCAGTAATATAGTTGTAAGGTTTTTTCTGAAATACTTCGGAATTCATCTCTTCATGTTAATCTCCCGTCTTTTTGCCTTTAAAACCAATAATGTATTTTCTACAAAATCTTCAGAATCAGCATCTAAAATAATAAGTCTTCTTCCCTTTCTTGTAGGGCCTTTCAGGAATTGCTACCTTTAACAGTAATCGGTGAAAAAGGATCCATAATCGTAGAAATTCAATACAATTGCTTACTGAAGTTCTGAAAAGAACTATTATTTACGAATATCAAATATATCAAAATATAAAATTTCAGAACTGTCAACAATATCAATTATTAGCTGATGTTTATGCTAAAAAGTGATGTGTAGAACTGACTGCAATCTGACCAATCAGAAGTCTACAGGATTGCCAACTTAAATTAAAATCGCTCCTTCTAGTTTAAAAATAGAGTATAGTAAGTCAGAAAATCTCCTTTCTTCTCCTCGTAATTTATTATCCAAAAAAATCAGCATACCTATAAAAGTTTAGACTAGGTAATAAAGAGAGGCCGCGTAACAAGTATATCGAGCACACGTAGTATTCTGTACCGATTATCTATTGTCGCCATTATTTTGATTCGTAGCATTTGGTGACACCAAAGTTTTTGTTCGTGTTTATTTATGATTTTTGAATTAAGAGACATTTAGTAATTGGTTTATTACAATGGTTTATTGTGTGGCATATCAGTATTACCTTTCTACAGATAAATGATAAACATCAAACTTTTATACTTTATATATTTTCTTATATTTTTCATCTCAGGGCTTAGGCGGCTACTGAGAGCGTCGGCAGGTGACGGATGGCCGAACGGCCTGCAGCGATATTTCATCCTGCAGGTTATCACCGAATACCCAATAAGGTGACGCTGACCAACCTCCCAATCCAAAGGTGTCACGTGATCCGTGCCGAAAGGATGCATGGTGGCGGGGGAGCGCCACTGCGAACGAAGCCTCCGGGAAACCAGGCGACCTCCTGGCAGTAACTAGCCTTGCTACGGCATGCGGGGCTCTGCCGTGGTTGACCACATTTTCCCTAGCTACTCTTGGGATCTGTATGGAAGACGATCAAAAAAACAACGACGACGGGGACAATCCCCTCGATCGGCAGGAAGCTGGCGATGAACCGATGGAGGTTTCTTCAACCCCATCAAACAACGTCATTCCGGAGGAGATGGAGGATACCTTACTAGCATCACCCAACTCCAACGGAAATTAAACTCAGGTGGAGAAGGAGAAGGTACCAACCTCCTCTAATAAACCTGAGAGGCACGCCAAAAGGTTCGCCGGAGCGACCAGAAAACGCCTCAAAATTATGCTTCAGCGCGGCATTGACTATCAATCCACCCTGAAGCAGACCCTCAAAGAGTTAGAGGAGAAAGGGAGTGGTAAACCACCCCTCTCGAGGCCACTTTAAAAATCTGGACAACCGGTGAGGAAACAAACCCAACCAAAGGAGTCCAGAACCAAACGTCAACGCTCCGACGACAGCACTCCTAAAACGAAACTTAAAAACTTCGTAGGGATGCTGTAGTCGAGCCGAGACGTTTATTCAAGGCCGCGGCGAAGAGTGTTCGAGTGGGGATTGTTCAACCAGAACACCCTGACGTCCAGCTTTCGAATGAACAGCTGCTAGCTCTACAGCTCTCAATCATGAGAGCTTTAAAAAGACAACCTGTGGACGGACCTCAAATCTATTTCCAGGGCTGCACCATCAGACCAGGTCATCTCCTTCTGGACTGCGCCGA